TCTCTCGCTCGCTCTCTCTCTTGACTACCTACCAGACCACCCCAACCCAACCCGAAGACCCGAATTTCGGGTTGGGGGGGGTAAGGGTCCCACACGTGTTTTTTTCAGGGTCTCTCGACCCCCCCCCCCACTGGAAAACGAGGGTAAATCTGAGCCTTCGGGTTGGGTTGGGGTGGTTTGGTGGGTGGTGATCTCTCTCTCTCTCTCTCTGAAGAGGCCCTGGGACACGCAACTAAGTACACACACATAAAAAGAGTCCCCACACGTTCACATATGTTCGGGGTTCCTGTCTTCCCACCCACTTCCCATATGTTCCCATATTTTCTGGGGAGTCGACGATCAATTGTGTCTGTGTGTTTTTTTTCCCTCCAGGCTCTCTCTCTGTCGCAGGGCTCGACCCAGACCGCGTTGTTCGCTTGCGTGTCGCCTTCGGTCGGGCGTGTCCCGCTACAGGCGGATTTGGGACGAAAAATCGTCAGATTCCAAAAATGAGCAAAAATAGCCCCCCCCCGCAAAAAGTTCAACAATAATCAAAACATATTCGTCGACAATAGCCAAAAGTGCTCCAAACATCGTCCCCACACTATTTTCTTGCTATTTTGGAGTATTCCTCCTGGAGATGGACAGGCCCGACGTAAAGCTAAACCGTGCTTTTCGTTTGCGTGTTGCCTTCGGTTTCCCTCGTTCTGTCTCCAAGGCGTTTTTTTACCGCGGGGCGGCATCGAAACGAAACCGGCCCACGAGATCGAGAAACACACCGTTTCGCTCGAGCCTTGCTCTCTCTCTCTCTCTCGCGCGACCGCGGACGCATCACCCAAACGCCCCCCCGCGCCAGCCACGCGCCACAGGGCGCGACGGCTACACGGACACGGTCCCAGTCCGAAGGGGGAGGAGGAAGGGGTGGGGGCTGACGCACACGTGAGCTCGCACCGACGCCGTTATAGATCAAATACCGAAGGGCCCCTGAGTCAATCAAAACAGCAAGCGAATCTCTTCGATTCCCTTGTATTTCTTATCTTATTGTGCTTGGATCCCTACTTCGTGTGGAAGCCTCGGTGGTTCCAGAAGAGTGCTACCGACAGCTGGGGGGGCCTCCTCAGCCCTCCTCCACCGCCATCCCTCTTCCATGTGAACAGCTCCCCCCTGTCGCACCACCAGACGTGCCGTCGGGGCGGGCCCGGCGTGTCGCCGGAGGCGTCACAGCCAGAAGTCTCGAGCACTGCCGCGCATGGAGGGCGGGTGGTTTGTCAAAAGGGGGCTCCCTCGCCGGCACCGCGCAGATCCGGAGGCGCGATCATCGTCTCTGCGCCCTCGAGCGGCCTCCCTGGAGAAGCGTGGCTCTTGAGCCCAGGGCGCGAGGCGCGGTTACTGGCGCGCCTCCACGGGAGACTCCAAGGGTTTCGCCCCAAGTCCGCTCGAGGTCCGATCCCCAGAACCCCTCCCAGGGCCATCTAAGACGAAGCCAGGACGATACTAAAATCTGGTGAAGCTAATTCGAGAATCTCTGAGATCCGGCGGCTCTGGAAAATGTCTCGGGCGCCGCGGCCTTCTCAGAGCGTGCAGGAACGCTCTGAAAGAGCTCGGGAACGCTCTGGACCGATGTGCCTTGATTCAAGGCCTGCCTGGCCATCCCCCCCACAAATATTTCCGATCAGCACCCAGCCGAAGGCCATACGAGGCTACAAGAAAGCAACATCGTTCGAGTCCCGCGTAGTCGTCGCGGCTAGCCTCGCGCCCCTGCGGGCGGCCGGAAAGAACTCGCTCTCCGCCCCTGGGCCTCTCCGTGGCGCCGTCCTGACGAGCTTCTCCCGAGCCACCCCTCGCCGCGGCAAAGGTGCCCCCCCCCAGGGTGCAAGCGCATGCAGCGAGGGATACTGTCTGTCCGCCTATGCACCAAATCGGGGAGGCAAGGAGCTGAAACAGTACCTCCTTCACGCGCTGATGTCGGACGTCTGCCACGCTTACGCACGCGTCGGACTAGAGGCGCATGGTCAACACGCACTCGACAGAGACAGCTCGAAAAGCGGCACGCGTGGGAGAGATACGAGACTCTGGACAGGAAGATCCTGGACTCTCGGGATCGGTGCATCCGCCCACTGGGCGGAGTTGGGAGGGACGTTCGCGGACCTCAGCATGGGGCCCCATGACCTCTCGACCCCTCCCCCTGGAGACCAGTGCCTCATTCATCAGCTGTCCGTGGCCCCAAAGCCCGAAAGCGGCCCACAAACATCGAACTCAGCAGAAAACCTCTGCCATGCGTTGTCAAAGCGCTGGAAGTCTGGGTCATCCACCGATCGAAGGCCCACGACGGGACCAGACATGGGACATCACCAATGGAATGTCCGACCCCTCCCCCTCTGAGGCGGCATTCCTCGGGACAGGCAGACCCGCAGGGGGAGGCCCGCGACCGAGACGGCGGGGCGAACGCGCCGATCGTGAGCTGTTCACAGCGCCCAGGTAACCAGATCACCGACGACTGCAGAACCCACCCCTCCCATTCCTTCCCTCAGCTCCCCTAGAGCGCCATGGAAGCATTTAGAAACCATCACCAAGAACGCCATGGACGCGCTCCTTGAAGGCTTCCAGACGAAGGGGGACCGTTTCTTGAGAGACTTGTCAACGTCCGTGAGGCCATTGGTCCTTGAACTCGAGACTGTGAGCTCGCAGGAGATTCCCAGCTTGGATGTAAAGGTGCACAGGCGAGCTAACTTCTCAAGCGACATCTTGGGTCATCGAGTGCACGTGAAGTGTTCACCTCAGTTGCTTCCGGTGGCGATTCCCTGCACCATCCATCGGTGCACAAGGCGTGGTCGGCAGCGATGCTATTCGGTGCTTCCGCCTGTGCAGCACCGCAGATGTGACAGTGAGCTACGCTGCGGACTGCTCGCGGCAGGCACGAACTGCTAAGATGCTGAGGCTTGCTCGCAGTAGTCCTACGGTCAAGCCGTGTTGGGTCAGCACAAGGCAAGGGTGACACATGTCCACCCTGCAAAATGCTTAAGAAATCATGGGGTAAGAAATTCATAGTCTCAGAATTGGTCTAAAAACCGACAATGTCGATTCAAATCTTAGGATTTACATTGAAACGTTAAGGATACTCGAGACTCTGGACGAAAACTTAGGTTTTCTTAAGCATCGCCTAGGGTGCACAGTCAAGCCGTGTTGGGCCAGCACAAGGCAAGGGTGACACATGCAGCGTTTCCACTCTTCCGCGTGTGGCACAGTTCCAATGTCCCCTCGGGTCTCGGGTCGCCTCCAATGCCAGGTGGCGGGGACGTCGAGGTGCCATCCCAGAGCGAGCCGGAAGATCGGAGACCCTCATTTGTTGACAAGGCTCGCCTGAACACTGCACCCTGCGAAATGCTTAAGAAATCATGGGTTAAGAAATTCATAGTCTCAGAACTTGAATAAAAACCAAACATTTCTATTAAAATATGAGGAATTAAATTGAAACATTAAGAATAATCGAGGCTCTGGCCGCAAACTTAAGTTTTCTTAAGCATCGCCTAAGGTGTGGGCGGGACGGGTGATGCATACGATTCCATACGATTTGGGGAGGGTTGACGAGGCAGGCTGGCAGTGCAGGTCTCAAGTCTGTCTCATTCTGCTCAGGAGAAATCTTGTATCATTGTGTATTCCGCGGCCCTCAGGCTTGAAACCGCTCAGCACAGCATGGGTGAGGCGGGGGTCATGCGACGTCCCCGAGGAGTTCGTACAAGTCCCTGCTCGAAACTTCGGCACCTAATGTGCAGCGAACGCAACGTTAACATCGGCATAACCACCACCACCGTCAACATCACCGTCACAAGCATCATCGTCGAGTCATAATCATCATTATCATCGTCGTCATCATCACCATCATCATTAGTATCATCACCAGCATCACAATCAGTATCATCATCATCATGAGCAGCAGCAGCATCATCATCATCAGCATCAGCATCATCACCACCACCATCACCATCACCGCCATCAGCATCATCATCATCAGCATCATCATAGTCATCGTCATTGCCATCATCATCATCATCATCAGCATCATATTCATCATCATCATCATCATCATCATCATCATCATCATCATCATCATCATCGTCATTAGCATCATTATCACCAGCCTCATCCTCATCCTCATCCTCATCCTCATCATCACCATCATCAGCAACATCATCATCACCATCTCTTCCCTCCCTCACTCCTCCCTGGAGAGCCATGGAAGCCTTTAGAAATTATTCCCCAGAAGCCCCTAAAACCTGCCCTCCCTCACGCCCTCCCCTTGCTTCCCGCCCTCCTCTCCCTAGGCACCACCTAGAACTCCCGTGGTGGGGAGAGGGAGAGCAAAAAAGAACATGGGGAAACCAAAAGGTACCGATACCGCTACTCCCCCAGACCTCTCCCCGGGTGCTTTGTGTTGGCGGCGCGCAGAGGGGTGTGGGGGCAGGGGGGAAGGCTTCTTAGAAGGAGACTGCCTCTTAGAAGGCGCGGACCAGGCCCTCGCCTTCTAAGAAGCCGGGGTGGTTTTAAGAAGCTTTCCCCTGCCCTCCTACCCCCCCCTGCGCGTGGTAGCTGTAGGAATACCTTGCACTCCTCTGGGTGCAGAAAGAGGACGTATCGGCTGGACTAGTTCCAGCCGCTTGATCCTGGAGCTCTCGATCCCATTCCCCAGGACCGGCTTCTTGTGACACCAGCGGTCGCTCTCTTGGCGGGCCCAGGGCACAGACACGGCTCCGTGAGGGGCAGTGTGAGCAAAGTACCAAGTCCCATGGAAAAATCATCCGATTAAAAATCACAGGGCAAGCCCTCGGGACAACCGGGACAGCCCAGGCTGATTCATGACGACAAGACGACCTACCCCAGACAACCACTTGGCACGACCCAGCGGGGATCGGGACAACCCCTTCGGACAACCCCCTTTGGTCAAGCCTCCCCAGGATTTACCGATTATCAAGGGACAACCCCCTTTGGACAACCCCTTCGGATAACCTCGTTAGGACAAGCCTCCATCATATTAACAGAAGACGTGTCGACCCCTATCCCAGGCTTTGGGACGTTTTCCAGTGGACCTGTACGCAATTTGGGGCCCAACCCTGAGATGTACGATGGGGGGCGTCCATCCTCGATAGGGGTGCGTCCGAATAGCCCGCTTGGGGTGTACCCCGGGGTTCCCCTCCTGTTCTGAGCGGCCTCATCCTTCGAAAACTCGACGGCTGGGGGAGAGAAAACCCGCCTGCGGAAGATGTGCCCCAGCGCAGCGCCAGCCCTCTCGGGCGTGGCACCCCTCAAAACCTCCGAGCCTGCAGCCTCTGCCGCGTCTCCACGGCCCAGCCGCATCAGGGCACCCGCCGGGGGCCCCCCCCCGTGGCGGGCGGCAGGGGGTTGGGCGTGGCTTAATGGGGGGGTCGCAAATGGGGGGGTCAGAAAAGGTCCCCTTTCGTGCCCCTTTCGGGCCCCTCCAGAGCCCCAGGGGGCTCGTGCAGGTACCATTTGGGTACCTTTTCGGACCACACTCGCCGCCCCCCCATTGACGATCCCCCCATTACGCAGCGCCCAAGGGGGCGGCGACGGGCCCGCTCCGGGACCGGCACCAGGAGCGCGTGCAGTATGGAGAGCAGCCTGCGCGCGCGGCCGCGCGGCAGCGGAGGCGAGGCGGTGCGCAGCGGGCTGCCCCCAGACCCCCTCGACCCACTCCCTCCTCCTCCTCCTCCAACTCCTCCTCCTCCTCCTCCCTCCTCCTCCTCCTCTCCTCCTCCTCCTCCTCCTCCTCCTCCTCCTCCTCCACCTCCTCCTCCCCCTCCTCCATTTCCTCTACTCGACTGCGTCCTCATCCTCAACACCTCGCCTGCCCTTCCCTCCTCCAACCTCCTCCTCCTCTCGTCCTCGTCGTCGTCGACGTCTCCTCCTCCTCCACCTCCCCTCCTCCTCCTCCCCCTCCTCCCCTCCTCCTCCTCCTCCTCCTCCTCCCTCCTCCCTCCTCCTCTTCCTCCCTCCTCCTCCTCCTCCTCACTCCTCCTCCGCGTCCGCGCCGGCTCGTCATAAAGCATCCGCCCTTCTCCTCGTCCTTCTCCTCCTCCTCCTCCTCCACCTCCTCCATCTCCCTCCTCCTCCTCGACTAGCGCCGTCGGTCCCCTTCTCCCTCCTCCTCCTCTACTAGCCCCTTTCTCCTCCTCCTCCTCCTCCTCCTCCTCCTCCTCCTCCTCCCCCTCCTCCTCCTCCTCCTCCTCCTCCTCCTCCTCCCTTCATGCTCCACCCCCTCGTGGTCATCTCCGTGGTCACGATAATGTTGCGGAGGAGGGGGCTGGAAAGGAATGGGGGAGGGACGGGGGGGTAGAGAGATGAGGGGGGAGAGTCCCAGAGGGGAGCGCCCCAGGGGGGGGGGGGGGGAGACACCAATCATGTTGGGCGGCATGTGCGCGGCCCAGGGGGGGGGTGCCGGAAACGCATTGAAATAAGAAGAGGCGCCATGAAATCTGGGAGATAGCATGGCCCCCGTTATGATATCGGGAGAGGAGTGGTGGGGGAGGAGGAAGGAAGGGGGGAGGGAGATTGGGATGGAGGGAGCGGGGAGAAGGGGGAGAAGGGAGGAGGCCATGGAGAGAAGGGGGGGGGCGGAGCGAGAATGGGAGGGGGAGGCGGCCGGAGAGGCCCCAAGCTCATCCTCGCAGCGGTATTTCAACGCGGGCCTGTAGCTCTATCTCCAACTCCTCTCCTCCTCCTACCTCCCCTCCTCCTCCTCCTCCCCTCCTCCTCCACCTCCTCTTACCTCCTCCCTTCCTCCTCATCCAGATCATCCAATCAACTCCTCCTACTCCTACTCCTACTCCTACTCCTACTCCTACTCCTACTCCTACTCCTACTCCTACTACTCCTACTCCTACTCCTATCCTTATTCCTTATTAAGAATATACTCCTACTCCCCCCTCAGGCCGGCAGATAGCGGGCGCATCCGGGTGGTCCCATCCTACCCTGTAAAAAACAATACAAAATCAACATTTTTCTTATTTTTTCCTCTCGACATGGACGTCCTGTCGTCCACGGCGATAATCCATTGCAAAAAATATCACAAAGAGCACACGCGCGCGTTCATGTCAGAATCCTACCGAACACCGTGTGTTTGCAAGCATTTCAACATAAAAACATCAAAAACCTAATGCTTTTCACAAAAATTTTTCACAAAAGATGTACAAAATTTCCCGCCCGGCTCTCTTCCTTGCTGAAATCATAGGAAAACCATAGGAATCTTAAGAATTCGGTCGAATCCAGCGATTTCACGTCATCGCGCGGTTCACTCGCGATGCTCTGTCATGCACCCAGGCCGCGAATCCTGTGCAAAAAATACCACAAAGAGCACACTCGCGCGTTCATGTCAGAATCCTACCGAACACCGTGTGTTTGCAAGCATTTCAACATACAAACATCAAAAACCCAATGCTTTTTTAACAAAAATGCTTTGGGGTGTCCTGTCAGACCGTCGGGCTTCCTCCGGCCACCTCTGGCTTCCTGCGGTGTACCGGGCCATTCTCGACTCGTCTGTCAATGCGTGCGCGGCATTCAACACGCGCTCGCCAGTTCCCGTCGGCAACCGCCATCGCGGCCGCATCAGCTGTACCAAACCGGCTGGCCGGTGTGACTTCGGCCCCCAGTTGTGCCAGCTTTGCTTCTTATGTTGTGGGAGGGCGGGTGGGACTGGGCATGCCATGCTTGACTCGCTCGAGCTGGCTAGCTTGATCCTACTCCTACTCGTCCTCCTCCTCCTCCTGCCCCTCCTCCTCCTCCTGCCCCTCTCTTCCTCCTCCTCCTCCTCCTCCTCCTCCTCCTCCTCTTTCTCCTCCTCCTTTTCCTCCTCCACCTCCTCCTCCTCACCTCCTCCTCCCCTTCCTACCTCCTCTTCCTCATCCTCATCCTCATACCTCAACCAATCACACAATCATCAACATCATCATCATCACATCACATCAACACATTCGTCATCGATCATCATCATCATCATCATCATCATCATCATCATCATCATCATCATCCATCATGATCACACATCATCATCATCAACATCCATCAGCACATCATCATCATCATCATCAACAGCATCCAACAGCATCCATCATCACAGCAGCAGCATCATCGTCATCATCATCATCATCATCACCATCTGTCGCCATCATCATCACCATCGACCACCAACATCATCATCATCATCAACATCATCACCCTCATCACATCATCATATCATCAGCATCAGCATCAGCCATTATCAATCATCCGAATCAACATCACCACCACCATCATCAGCACATCATCATATCATCATATCATCATCATCATCAGCAATCATCATCATCATCATCATCATCGCCATCATCATCATCATCATATCATCCATCATCATCATCACCATCATCATCATTATCAGCAACATCATCATCCACCTCCTCCTCCTCTAGTCCTCCTCCTACCTCCTATCCCTCTCACTTCCTCCTCGACCTCCACAACAGCATCACATTCTACCTCCTCCTCCACCATCCATCATCCCCCTCCTTCCCCCCCTCCTCCCAATTCTCCTCCTCCTCCTCCTCCTCCTCCTCCTCCCTTCTCCTCATCCTCCACTCCCGCCTCCTCCTCCTCCTCATCCTCCTCCTCCTCCTCCTCATCCTCGTCCTCCTCCTCCTCCACTCCTCCCCCCCACTACACACGTATTCCTTATCATCCCTCCCTTTCTGGCATCGCTACCCCCGCATTATCACCCTTCTCTTCTCTCATACACCCCTGCCTCTTCCTTGCTTCCTCCTCTCACCTCTGCCCTCACTCCTTCCCCCATCCTCGCTCATCCGGCCTCCCTCGGCAACTACTCAGTATGGATACCACTCCCCTCTGTTCCCCCCGAAGATGGCCAGGGAGTCGCCCGACCACCTCTGCGTTTTGTTTTGACACAGAGGATTCAGAGGATGGTGCCGAATTCGTTGTCATTCTGTGTGCGTTTCAATCAGAATGTTCTCCGTCATTGCAAAATGGTGTTCCCGCTGAAACGTGCGCCATATTTGGTCGCGGCTTTGTTTTCGTCATTTCAGCATTGCGCCCTCGCCGCAGCACAAGCCATTTTTCTGAATTCGAGTCCTGCCTCCTCGTTGTCGCCCGCCTCCTGTTCCCCTCCTCTGCCTTCCATGGTCCTCCTTTTCCTCCCGTCCCTTCTACTCCAATTCCCGCTGCGGCTATTCGTCTTCGTCCTTCTACATCGTCATCATCCTGTTCCTACTGCTCATCCGCCATATCCGGTTCATTCGCCACATCCTCCTTCTACGTCTCCTCCTCCTCCTCCTCCTCCTCCTCCTCCTCCTCCTCCTCCTCCTCCTCCTCCTTAGCCTCCTCCTCCTCCGTTTCCTCCTCCTCCTCCTCTTTCTCCTCCTCCTTCTCCCCCGCATCCTTGTTACGCGGCTTCCCTGTTTTCCGATTTCGTATAATTCGATAAGGGGTATTTAGGGGGAGTTCCAGGTCCACTATGGCACGCGTCCGCAGAAGGAGGACAAATAAGCGCAATGGGGAGGGCTGGGTGGGAGGGCAGATATGGCGCGAGCGCACCCAGCTTGTCCATCCCCCCTCTCTCTCCCCCCCTCCCGCACTTCCCCCTCCACCCTCCACGCTCCTCCGTAGAAGGTTGGGGCCTGGGTGGTTTTTGACCGCTGGGCAGGGCGGGATACAATTACTGCCCTGACTGGCTTTCGAACTGACGGATCCACCCCTGCGGCCCCTGAACAGAGGGGCCCAGACGGCGCTGCGGGGCACGATGTTTCCTCCTGCCGAGTCGATCCGATCCTCCCTCCCACTTTTTTATCCTGGGAGGAGAAGGGAGGGGGAGCGCGCGACAACTGATTCTCACTACGGCGTGACTGGCACGGTAACATGAAGCAGGAGATCGCCAGGCAAACTAGGATCAGTACAAGCCGACCTGCCGTAGACAAGCTCATGCGATAAACTGTAGCCTGTAGGGGAAGAGATGACGAGATGTGCGCAAAAGGACAGGCGGGGAAAAGGAGGGGGACGGGACGAGGAGGAGGACGATTCCTCCCACCCTCCTTCTTTCCCTTGCGCGCGGCGCGGGTACCACGTGGCGTGCTGTGACGAGGACAGGAAGAGCTTGGTGGGCAGCAGCTGGAGCAGTAGGTTGACGGCGTACCTGGCGCGGACAAGGAGCAGGCGGAGAACAGGAGGGGGAGAAGGGTGGAAGGAGGAGGGGAGGGGAGGGGGACGGTGCTAATCAGAATGGCACAGAAAAAATGGGGAGGACGAGGAGCAGTAAGAGGAAGAGCAAGGAGATGATGGGTCAGGTGTCTGCTGCTACTGATGCTCATCCACCTCCTCCTTCTGCTCCTCCTCCTCCTTGCCCTTGCCGTCCTCCTCCTTCTCCTCCGCAACCCGCCGTCTCGCCGCGGAAGGTCTCAGAAGGACTAGAAGCGTCAAACTCTCCAACCCTCTTCCAGCTCCTCCTCCTCCTCCGCCTCCTCCTCCCCACACCTCTTCCCCCTCCTGCTCTCCCCGCGAGGTCTCCTGGGAGCCTACGGAGGCCTCTCGGGGCCTCGGGGCCTACTGATCTCCAAAAACGCAACAAAAATCAACACGATCCATGATCTGTTGCCGCCGCCGCCGCCGCCACCGTCGTCTTCAAGTTCCGATCGAGACGGGCCCCTGGACCCTGGACCCAGGACCCCTCCCGGAGTCCGTCCTGACCCGTTTTTCGAGCCGCGCCCAGCAGTGGCCACGGTGATCCCCCCGGAAACCGCACACGGGAAACCCGAGCCGCCGCCGCCGCCGCCACCGCCACCTCCACCGGCGCAGCCGCAGGCGGGCCGTCGCCACCGCCGCCGCCGCCCTCGCCGCTTGTCGCCGCCGCCGCCGCCGTCTCCGCCGCCCCCGCCGCCGCAGCGGCCGCCGCCGCCGCCATCGTCGCTTGCCGCCGCCGCCACCCGCCGCCGCCGCCGTCTCCGCCGCCCCCGCCGCGCAGCGGCCGCCCCGCCGCCTCGTCGCTGTTGTTGTCGCCGCCGCCGTCTCCGCCTACCGCAGCGCGCGCCGCAGCGCCGCCGCCGCCGCCGCCGCCATCGTCGCTTGCCCGCCGCCGCCGCCCGCTGCCGCCGCCGCCGTCTCGCCCGCCCCCCCGCCGCCGCAGCGGCCGCCGCCGCCGCCGCCCGCGTCGCTCGCCGCCGCCGCCGCCGCCGAGGAGCCGCCGCGGGGCGGCGCGGGAGGCGCGGCGGGGCACTGGCCCGGGAGCCCGCTCGCGGCCAGGTCCCCGACCAGCAGCTCCGCGCCCCGGGCCTTCTTCCGCCGCTCCTCGTCGGCCCACTGCGGGGCCTGCGGCCGGTCGAGGGGAGGAGGACCCGGGAGGAGGATCGAAAAGAGGAGGAGGAGGATCGAGGAGGAGGAGGATCGAGGAGGAGGAGGAGGAGGAGGAGGAGGATCGAGGAGGAGGAGGATCGAGGAGGAGGAGGAGGATCGAGGAGGAGGAGGAGGAGGAGGATGAGGAGGAGAAGGAGGAGGAGGAGGAGGAGGAGGAGGATCGAGGAGTGGGGTGGCCCAGGCGAGCGTAGGCAGCGGCAGGGGGGAGCAGCAGGGAGGATCGGGGACGGGAGCGTCCTGGGGCTTCGGGGGTGCCCTCGGGACTTCGGGGCGGAACCCATCCTGCAGCCCCTTGGGCCCTCGAGAACCCTCAGGGCCTCCCGAAGGCACCTGGGTACATCACACAACTGCAACTGCGGAACGACCTTCTCCCCCTCTTGCTCGAAGCCCGAAGCTGTCCTTGATCGCAATCTGACCAAGAGTTCGAAGAGACTCCAGCCGTGGCGATGAGGGCTTTCCTGGAGCCCCTCCAATAAACAATCCCCTTTGTCCTCGTCGTCGTCCTCCTGCTCCTCCTGCTCCTCCTTCTCCTCCTCCTCCTCCTCCTCCCTCCCCTCTCCTCCTCCTCCCCATCCTCCTCATCATCATCATCATCAATCATCATCATCATCATCATCTCATCATCATCATCATCATCATCATCATCATCATCATCTCCCCCTCCTCCTCATCATCAACACCACAATCACCATTACCAGCATCATCATTATCAACATCACCATCACCATCATCATCACCATCACCACCATAAATACCATCACTACCATAACTGCCACCAGCATCAGCATCAGCATCGTCATCACCAGCATCGGCAATAACAGCAACATCATCATCATCATCATCATCATCATCATCATCATCATCGAACCAGCCGCATAAGTGTACCATCTGCATCATCATCATCACCATAATTTACAACCTCATCATCAGCAGCATCAGCATCATAATCAGCATCATTACCACCACAACCAGCAGCAGCATCTTCATCATCAGCAGCATCATCATCAACAGCAGCACCGCCATCACCAGCTTCATCCTCATCAGCATCATGGCCGTGAAAATGATCATTCACATCAGAAGCAGCATCCTCGTTCTATCATACCCTCACCAACAGCATCCTCCTCCTCCTCAGTTTCATGATAAGCATCGCCATCACCACCATCGTCATCATCATCATTGCCATCATCACCGTCATCACCTTCATCAACATCACCAACTATTAGCATCAGCATCAGCGTCAGCGTCAGCATCAGCAGCATCATCAGCACCATCAGCATCGTCAGCATCAGCATCAGCATCATCAGAATCACCAGCATCATCATGAACATCATGATGATCATCATCATCATCACCATCATCATCATCATTATCAGAATCGTAATCAGCCTTACCATCACCAGCAGCAGCATCCTGCTCCAATCATACCCTCACCAACATCATTCTCCTCCTCATCATCATCCTCATCATCGTTATGACCCTCACCCTAACCCTCATTCTCATCCTCTTCATCCTCCCCAGTCCACCGGACCTCATCTCCAGGACGAGTTCTTCCTCGCGCATTGTTGTTCAATGGCTTGGATCGGTGAAGCGACCCCTGGGGCACGGGAGGCCAGAATCACAAACACACACACACAGGCTCAAAAAATTCATTTGGTAGTTTTCGCGACGCCTGGAGGTTTGGCCTTAGAATCCTCCACGGACATACGACATTGTGATGCCCAACTGTCCTGTGGTGGTCGGCCCTCGTGTAGAATGCGCAGCACCCCGCGCCACGCCTCGCCCCCTTCCTCCTCCTCCTCGCGCTTGCCCGTTTTCTCATCACCTCCTTCCCCTCCTTGCCTCCGCCCTCCGCGCCCTCTCTTCCCTTCCTTGCCTCCCGCCCTCCGCACGTCCACTTCGCCAGGGACCCCCCTTCTGCCGCTCCTGGTGGCCCCACTGGCAGCTCCGCCCGGGGCGCTGGCCGCAGGGCCCGCAGGGCGTCCCCGCGCCCGTTTCGGCACACCCCTCACGCGCTCCGTGGTCCGGCGTCCTCCCGCTCAGGACGGAGCACCCCTCACGCGCCCCGTGTCCCCACAGGGGGGGCTCCAGCTGCAGCACCAGTGCGGGTGCGGGCGACTGCATGGCGCCCCCCCCCGACCAGGACGGCACGCCCTGCGCACGCACAGTGCCCCATGAGGAGCTCCGCTCACGGCACCGGCCAGGGCAACTGTGCATGGCATCCCCCCGCCAGGGTTGGTAAACCCTTCACAAGTTTCACGCCTGACCGGGAGCCGCACCCGCGGCATCAGTGAGGGCGACAGCGTGATTCTGGCACACCCATCTTCAAGAGTTTCGTGCCATGCAGGGAGCTCCATCAAAGGCCCCAGTGGTACGGCCCGTAACGCGTTCCTGGGCCTGCTTCGGCACACCCCTCGCGTTTCGTCGCGCGGCATGGGCAGCGCCAACTACGGCACCAGTGAGGGCGACCGCACGGCGACACCTCGCTGATTTCTGCACGTTCATCACACGCCGCTTGCCCCGCACGGGGGCTTCACCTGCAGCACCCCGTGAGGGCGACCGCGTGGCGTGAAGGGGGGGCGTCTTTCCCAAACCGAACGGGTCTTCCCAAGCCAAACCTTCGGTTAGGGTGACCCGGGGCTCGGTGTGGGAACACCCGTTTGGTTTGGGACGGCCCGGTTGGTTTGGGAAGACCCGTTTGGTTTGGGAAGACCTGGTTGGTATGGGAGAACCGGTTAGAGCGTTGGTTTGGGAACACCCGGTTGTTTTGGGAAGACCCGGTTGGCTACAGAAGAACCGGTTGGTTTGTGAAGGCCCGGTAGGTCTGTGAAGACCCGGGGAATTGGTTTGGGAAGGCCCGGTTGGTTTGGGAAGGCCCGTTTGTCTTGGGAAGACTCACGGGCTTGGTTTTTGCGAAGATCTGGTTGGTTTGGGAAGACTCGGGGGCTTGGTTTGGGAAGACCCGCTTATTTTGGAAAGCGCGGTTGGTTTGGTAAGACCCTGGGGCTCGATTAGGCAAGACCCACCTGGTTGAGGCGGAACCAGGGGCAAAACGAAGGCACGAGAACGAAGGCGGGAACGATAACGGAAAAGAGGGCCAAACGAAGGCGAAACGAAGGCGATAACAAGGCGAGAACGTGAGCGGAAACCAAAGCGAAACGAAAGCGAAACGAAAGCGAGAACGAACGCGGAAACGAGCTAAGACAGAAACGAGCACGAAACGAGGGCGAAACGAAGGCGAAAGCGAAGGCGAGAACGAGAGCGGAAACGAACGCGAAACGAAGGCGAGAACGAAGGCGAGACGAAGGCGGGAAGCGAGAGCGGATACAAAGACAAACGAAGAAGAAACGAAGGCGAGATCAAAGGCGAGAACGAGAGCGGAAACGAAAGAGAAACGAAGACGAAACGAAGGCGAGGACGAACGCGAAAACTACATCGGAAACCAAAGCGAAACAAGAGCGAAAGGAAGGCGAGCACAAGGGCAATAATACGTTTATGAAAGCGAAACGACGTCGAGAACGAAGGCGACAACAATACCAAAACGAGGGCGACACGAAACGAAACGAAGGCGAGAACGACAGCGAGAACGAGAGCTAAAACGAATGCGAAACAAAAGCGGACCGAAGGCGAGAACGAAGGGCGGAAACGAGGGCAAAACGGAGGCGAAACGAAGGCGATACCAAGGCGAGAACGTGAGCGGAAACCACATCGACACGAACACGAAACGAAAACGAAACGAAAACGAGAACGAAGGGGGGAACGATACGGAAACGAACACGAAACGACGGCGAAACGAAGGTGAGATCGGAGGCGAGAACGAGACCGAGAGCGAAAGCGAGACAAAGGTGAAACCAAGGCGAGACGAAGGCGGGAAACGAGGGCGGGCGGATACAAAGACAAACGAAGACGAAACGAAGGCGAGAACAATGGCGAGAACGAGAGTGGGAACAAAGGCGGAACAAAAGCGGGACGAAGGCGAGAACGAAGACGAGAACAAAGGGCGGAAACGAGTACGAACGGGCAGACCCTGACGGGTGGGTCGGGTCGGGCGGGCGGGACACGCAAGTCTAATGCATCATCGATTTGGCGCGATTGCAGCCTAACGAGCTGGTCGGTGGGGCGGGCGACTCGAGTCAGGCAGGCGGAACCTGACAGGCAAGTCAAGTCGGGCAGGCGTACCCTCAGGAGCGGGTCGTGATCGGCGGGCGGGGCAGGAAAGTATTATGGAACATCGAATTGGCACACTTGTACCCTAACGGACGGGTCGGTCGGGCGGGCGGGTCGGGTCGGGCGGGCGGGTCGGGTCGGGTCGGGCGGGCGGACCCTAACGGACGGGTCGGTCGGGCGGGCGGGTCGGGTCAGGATCTGGGCGAAACACGAAGAACGCCAGGCTGCCCTCCCCGAACCGACCTCGATCTCAGACCTCGGGTCCGACTGAAGCCCCTCCCGGCACTCACGATCTGCCTCCAGAGACTCCCCATCCGTGGGGCCCGTCCCGACCAGGGTCACGCGGGGCATCCAACACCGTGGCGGTCAGAGCGCTCCCAGAGACCCAAGAAGAGCCCCACACATTACAGGGCAACCTCGGAGAACGATCCTAAGCCGCTGCCCACGACTGGTCGAGCCTTCGGGATCTTGGCAGTGGTCGACGTCATGGTCGTGGTCGTGGTCGTCGTCACCGCCGCCGCCGTCGTCGCCGTGGTCGCGGCCGTCGGCGTTGTCGCTGTCGTCGTCATCCAGTTCCGGAGCGCGCCCAGCCTGGAGGGAGTCCATCCACTTCTCGTGCCGCAGCTTCCTTGGGGGGCGTGCGGCCAATCGGAGCAGAACGAAAGGGGGGCGGGAAGGAGGCGGGAGAACGAGGAGCAGCGAAGAAAATCACGGCACGCTGAAAGCTACCAGGCTTCAAACCTCGCGATTAAGAAGACGGTGCTGACAGAAACGTATCATTTAAGAACATTGGGCAAATTTCCCAGACGCTTCTTGAAAGAAACCTGGGTCAACTTCTGTTGTTAGCGCTGGGAGCGGCGAACGAACTCAAGAAACTGGGCGAACTTTCTGGCAAGCTGGCTAAGCAACTCTGGCCCAACATTTAGGAGGGAGGTTTCTCAATCAGATGCTCGACCGTAAAAACAAACGATGCTGACAGAAACTTGATCATGTATTGTGTTGCATACTCCAGGGACCTTGTCTGTCCCGTCGCGCCAAGATCCACGTCGAAAATGTACCGAATCGGTGTCGAGCGAACCGAATCCGTGTCGAATCCGTGTCGTAACCAAGTCGGATCCGCGTCGAACTCACGCCAGAGGACAAAAAAGGCGGCCATTTACAGGACAGGAGCGGACCCCCGAAGATGTCAAATAACTGGGGGAACCAAAAGGTACCGAGACCGCTACTCCCCGGACCTCTACCAGGGCGCATTCAAACGACAATTTCGGGGCGAATCCAACGGTGGCAAAAGTGAGAAACGGACAAAGGGTAGCGGTATGGGTACCTTTACCTCCTCTGAGCAACATCTGGGACGCGTCAGGACCCGTTCCCTGGCAGCGGCCAACACGAGCGAGGGAGAGCGCTCCCGTGCGCCTCCTCGGGTGGGCCACTCTGCAGTGATGGGCGCGGAGGGGCGCCGCGCGGACACACCTCGGGGGCCCGTAGGCGGAGCGCTCCACGTGGGAGCCCCGTCCGCGCGAGGGCTCGTGTAGCGCCCTGCAGTCAACCCGTAACAATGACGATGCGCAGGAGTGCCAGGAGGCCCATGTGAACGTGGTTCGAACGAGGTTGGCCATCGAGGTGAGACGCGCTTCGGTGCGGACCAAGCACGAGGAACAGACCACAAAAAACACACAGGAGATCGAAACCTCCGATGCCGTGTTCTGTCCCTGTACGGGGCCGCTGGAGATATCGACACCTCCCCCGAACCCGTTTTTCTTTATTCTGCGTCGCTTCCTGACGGTCAAGACAACCCGGCACGGCCCCCAAGCTGAGAAAGTCCAGGGTTCGCTGGGGACTGGTCTCCTTCCAGAATAGCCGAGACCCTCCTGGAGCCCTCCTGGAAGGTTTCTGGGAGGCTCTTCGAAGGGTTCCGGGAGGGTTACTGCAAGGCTTTTCTTCGTCGTCGGAACCAGGC